CTTGTCTTATTGCTATTGCTAAGACTTCCAAAACAATATTGAATAAAAGAGGTGATAGTGGGCATCCTTGCCTAGTTCCTGTTCTTAAAGGGAATGGCAAGGCTTTTTCTTGGAGAGAGACCAGGAGACCTTCAGTGAGATGAACTAACACAGTGACTGCAGCCATGGGCGCCAGTGTGTGTGGGAAATGAGGAGGACGGCACAGGACGGGACAGCGTTCAGCTCTGCTGTGCACAGGGTCACTCATGAGTCGTACACAACATCACTTAACAGCAACAAGCTGTGGCGAGGTCCGTGCGAACCCCTAGGACTGGCCTCTGTGGGGTTCAGGAGCTAATTGCCTTGCTTCTGAGATACCTCTGAGCGGGTGCAGACTCCATACTTTGAGGCCAGTCCTAGAGTGCTTAACCATTTCCACTTCCCAGGAACTCCTTTAAAAAGTTCCACACCTCCAGCGTTCTTTGATTCTCGTGGTAAGCAGCCCCAGCCCTTTCGGCCTGTGATTAGCTACCCTCCAGGTATAAAGCACCATTCTCAGGGAGGAAAATAGAGGCCTTTGTACTTTAAAACACTCTTTCATATCCCCTTTCTCATGTGAGCCTTCCTTCACCCCCTAGAGTAGAAGTTCCATTCTGTCAATGCTCTTACCCATTCGTTCTGGGGACAAAGTAAAGAGAGACTGAGAGTCATCTCAGAGCTCAGGCTGTGGTTGAATTGAAATCCAGGCTTCATGCTTCCATAGCGTTTCTCTGATGCTCATTTGGATTATGCCTCTGATGTTTCTGGGCAGAGTCCCACCCCACCCCCACCCCCGCTTTGTCTGTTTTTCAGACTTGATGACTTGTTTCCATGAATCAATACTTTGCCCATATATGATGTCTTAAGATGTGGTAACTTGGTCAGTTGAAAACCATTTCCACATTAGCATGCATGTTTGCAAAGCTTTACAAAACCTCCACAGCTAAGTGTAACTATTTAATGAAAATAAGGAAGAGTCCAGGAAGTCTTATAATTGAACAGTTTGTTGTTGCCATGTTGACTGCCAATTAGATGTCTGTAAATTAAAAAAAAAAAA